ATGACCTTATAAAAGAAGATCGATCATGATTATATTATTATGAAACGAAATTAATCGTCAATCAGGCCTGTAGACCCCCCCCCCTCCTTATTTTCGAGTATAGATTTTGCTATAGTAGATTTTCCTTTACATGCTGGTTGACCACAACCCCCAATGTTTAACTGTTGATAGGAAGAGCGCAGGTACACCCCAGGATATCGTTATATAGTTTGAAGTTATATTGCAATCCTGATTTCGATCGACTACTTAACGTACCCTTAAATTCTTAAAAAATATTTCAGGCACGTAGCAGCAGGACCCCCCCCCCGTTTTTTTCTTTTTGCAAACAGAAGCTACTTCCATTGTAAAATGTCCGCTGAAAAGTCCCCTTTTTGTTGTTGGATTGGAATTGAAGGTGCCTCACTACCTCAATGAAATAGGATTTTCAAGATTGGACGCTTTACCTTTTTTTGCTTGTTAATTGGGTTTATTAGGCACCCCCCCCCCCACACACACACTTTCAAAAAAGCGATACTACATACATGACATATGTATCTGCATATCAGTATAATTTTACTACATTTTCATGGATACATGTATTTATGTAATCACCACACGTTGTTCAAAATTTAAGACTACATGTACTACTTTTTTCACATTCATAGTTATTTTTTAAAAGAATGATATCTTCGTTTCGCATTCGATATTAAAATTAAAGTTGCGCAATTATTTGCTCGATTTTTTTTTTTACTATTTACTTCTAAAAATGTATCGGGCAAATTCCACAATCCAGATGACAGCAACATTGCTTCAAAATCTCTGTATGAATTGCTATATAGCTATAGTAATCTTCAATCAAAATATTATTGATGTGTCAATTAACTATAAATCGATTAGCGTACAGGTGTCTTTCATTCCAGCACCAGCAGGGATGAATCTCTCGATATGAAAAGGTCACGCATCCACATCCTTAATTATTACTAAAGTACACACAGTGGGTGGTGGAGGAGAAGAGTGTGATTTGTTCAGTGTTAACTCTCCTGTATTACATCACGTGCTGTTTTTATTTATTTACCTTTACTGTGATAATATCATTGTTTTGAACTTTCAAAAAATGTTGCTACATATAGGAATGACATAATAAAAGAAATCTAACAATGAAACACGCAACTGGTAATATATATATGCACACCCCCCCCCCCAATTTACGTTATCTATACATGTGTAGAATGCTAATTTATATGCATATTGTGTGCCTGTCAATTTTACATGTACAAAACACGTTGTGCATATTCTTGAGAGTCTAGCGTAACTCTGAAAGACTGAATCTTTTTTAAAAGATTCATATTGTTAACACATTATAATACTCATCCTCTTGTTTTATAACGTTTCAAGCATCCAAGCCACACTGAGCTGTTCTCTAATGAATATTAATGAAATGTGCGCAATGAGGATGCGTCGTATATTATGTCGATGTTGTATTCTCACTTGTGCAGTTTTCGTTATTACGTTTGTGTAATTAATTTTCTCATTATATCGTGTAAATATTTTGTTGATTGTGTAGTTTTCGTATAGTTTGTGTAAATTTCAATAACTTTGTGTGTATTTTCTGCACTTTGTGCAAGTTTTGACTTACTCGTGCAGGCGCGGATCCAGAATTTTTTTTCCAGGGGGGGGGTACACCCCAGTCAAAAAAAAAATCCAATCCCAGAAATTTCTTGACAAGCAAAAAAAAAAAAACCTAAACAACTCGCCCAAACGTCAAAAACCTATTTCGTTGGGGGGTGGGGGGGGGGGTGGGGGGAGTAGTGGTGACTTCAATTGCCTCAAATCTTTCACTTTTCATACCCATACTCCATTCTCAAAGAATATTCATAAGTCCCGCGTTCGATCTCAAAACGAGGCTAAGGTCGGTTGAGCGAAGCTCTATAAAAAATGGCGACGCCCAGTATCGGGAAGAACGACAGGCATTGTTGCGTTCCTCTGTGTAACGGCAACGGTCGCTTACACCCAGAATTGTCTTTCCACAAATTTCCAAGCAATGAAATTGTCAGGAAATTATGGATTCAAGCCATAAGGAGGGACCCTGGACCCCTTTTTAACGTAAGAATGAATGATATGAGAATGTTGTTTACATAAGTCATAAGCCATAATGTAAGCATACAAATACACGCTCCCCAAATACATCATCACCTGTGGCGTTATGTTGGAAGGTCTAATCCGCCTAGAATATTGATAATCGTAGTATAACACATACCTATATCAACATGGGATTTATATTTAGTGTGTCAATTACTGTTTATAAATATAAAATTGTGAAATATAGGAAATTTTTGTATACATGTAACGTGTAAGTCTGTAAAGTTCGTATATGGGGACCATACTTATTTTTACAGCTGTTTACTAAGTGTGGTAAAAATAAAGGGAATATAAATAAATATAAATATTAAATAAATATAAATATAAATAAAGGTATACACGTTAAACGTGACATACATGTACAAGAGACGCAAAAGGTCTGTATTTCTACGATTACACTTCAGTGCTGAGTGACAATCACAAGACTTCAGTTTATGAGTCACCTTAGGAATTCAAAGAAATTGCACGTTTTTCACATTAGGTCAAGGAAGCTGTTGTTTGTTCACGGCATTTTAAAGCAGAGGACTATAAATGGACACCAGTAAGGACAACTCTGAGACCTGGTAGTGTTCCCTCTACTTTCAACTGGACCAAGAATTCAACGCCAAGGAGACCAATCATTAAAAATCCACTCCCCGAAAAACTGCAGAAAACTGACAAGGATGGTATTGCAGAGGCACTGGCTCCATCTGATGATAATTTGCTTAATGAAAATTGGTAATGCATTCCTTATTGAATATAAATTTTATTTCAAATATGCTGGTCCACAGATTTTTGTTTTATTTTCACAAAATCTTAATTTAAAGCTGAAGTTTTTTTTTTATTTTATGTAAATTTCCTTTGGAGCACTAATCATTTCATTATTATTTATGGGGACCCATATTTATAAATACACTGAATATATATTATAAGTACACTAATTTAATGGATATCTTCGAGTTTTATTTTAAGGTGTTCTGCGGGTCGGACTGATGCTGGATCATCAATTTAAATCATTTTCAAAATACTACACATTTGTCAAGTTGTAAACAGAAATATCAACTTGCAATTGTAGTTTTGCTATTTTGAATGATTTAATTAACATCAAACATTTTGGTTGCTGGCTGACACCATCCTACAAATACTGATGCTGGAACATCAGGCAGATCGAGCAATAAGATAATCATGTAAGTTAAGTTTATTCAATTATCATTATTTTTTGACTGTCAATTTAGTATTTGATGCATTTGGATTTTTAGTTGCCCCCCAGTAGAAGATTCATCTTCTGTGTCCTCAGACAGCGACAGAATCAAAATGCTGGAAAGCATGTTAAGAGAAAGGGACGAGAGCATTGCCAGACTCCAGCAGAAACTTGACATCGAGAGATTTGGGGTGGAGCGTTTTTCAAAAGACAATTCAATGATCATGTTCTATACTGGTTTCATGACTTTTTCTATTTTTACTGCAGTATTTGAATTTATCAAACCAGCAGCAAGCTCCATGACAAGCTATTACTATCGAGTTTCAGCCAATACAAATCCCAACTTGACTGGCAGACAAAGAAATATGCTGCTGATTGATGAATTTTTCATGTTTTTGAGTCGCCTCAAATGTGGTCTTATGGAACAAGATCTAGCAGTTAGATTTAACTGCCATATCTCCACGGTAAGCAGAAAAATCATTACATGGGCAAATTTTTTGTATTTTGTACTTGGAAGCATAAATATTTGGCCATCTAGAGAACAGATTGACAGAAAAATGCCCGATTGCTTTAAAATCATGTATCCCACAACAAGGGTGATAATTGATTGCACAGAAATCAAAACTGAGCGACCCTCCTCACTTGTCCTTGGCTCCAAATTTTATTCTTCATATAAGAGTACACATACATGGAAGGGACTGGTTGGTATAGCACCTCATGGTGCCCTTACCTTTGTTTCAAGCCTATACACTGGCTGTATGTCTGATGTAGAGATAACAAAGCTTAGTGGTCTGATAGATTTACTTGAAGGGGGGGGGACTCAATCATGGCAGACAAGGGATTTGTTTTAAACAAAATTCTGGAAGGGACTGGCATTGGTGTTAACATACCCCCTTTTCTTATGAGCCAGGGTCAGTTCACAATGCAAGAGATTGAGGAGACCCAAACGATTGCAAAATTGCGTATACATATTGAGCGCCACATTCGCCGCGTGAAGGAATTTCATATTTTTGATGGTGTTATTCCTTTAAGTATGGTTGGGTCCATAAATCAGATATGGACAGTGGCAAACATGTTAACTCTCTTTAGGGGTCCTCTGATTAAAGAGTGGGCATGACTTTGACATTCATTCAAACTTGTATGCAAGACTCTGAGAAATTATTAATCAGGTACATGTACTCTGTTGGAGTATTAGGATTATGGGTAACACATGTAGATCTATATTGAAATACTTGTACTTGTAGGTTTATGTACTCTATGTTATGGAATACAAGTAAATGTTCAAGAAAAGCAAATTAATCATGCCTTGAATTTCATAAAAAAAAATCTTCAATAACATATTTTGAATTTCGAGATTTGTTAAAATACATGTATGCTACTAATTATCGGTACATATGAAACATGCATTTTTTTTTCAAAGTAAATATATAGTTATTGATATTGTAAGTTCTAAATATTTTGTTTTTCTTAATTTTTACATTTCCAATAATTTTCTATAACAATTCTTTACAAATCACTCAGAGGAAAAAATTTATTTTCTGATAACTAAGAGGGACATAAGCATGAATATCTCAATATATTCATTTACAAAATTATACTTGCTGTCCAAACTGTAGAGCAAACTTGACTGTTTAATTTATTGTTTGTAACAGCTCATCAAATAAATAATGTAAATACATGTATAAGATATGATTTAATTTCTAAAAATTCATGAGGTACATAAACTACATGTATAACCCTTCAACCCAGCCAGAATATTATTCATAAAGTGAGGTGGCACCTTATGAAATATGCCACAATGAAGTGTTTTAGTTCATGTCCTAATAAATTTTTACAAATTATATTTATTTCTCAATTGAATTCACATTAAATAATGATAAAAAAAGAAAATATCTATCTTTTCTTTCATGTCTTGCCAAAAATCTGCATCAAAATGCACAAGCTCTAAATGAAATTCCTCAGGAGTCCACACAAAAAAATGACACCATTCAAGTCCAGTAACTGCCATCTGGGTCATCACCTGATAGTAGTACTTATGAGTGTTCTTCAGGTGGTATCCATTTTCATCTTTGGTGAGGTAGTCGCACTCCGATAGGCATCTCACAGGACACTTGATTTCAAGTAAACCATGTGGTGGTGTTAATGATTGGCAGAACACTTTCCTGTCTGGTGTGGCTGCTATCCAGGGTGACCATGGGCTTATAACAAGACCACATGGATAGATGTTAACATCTTCATCCATAGCCTAAAATTAATAAAGAAAATTAATTTTGATTCAATATAAAATTTAACAGAGGTAGTTTGATATAATGTACATGTATTTAGACATCAAATATTACATACCTGCACATACGCTAATGCAGCTGTAGGTTCACATGCTAAGCCGTGTCTCATTGCTGCTGAAACTACCTTCCGTGTGGTCCTTAGTCGTGCCACAAGTGGATCACAATCTATAAAAAAATGTTGTTTTGTAAGGTATCAATAACACTCGGCATACAAAGATGATTATTTTTACATTAAGAAATGCTTAATATCATATTAACAAATATTTTTAGATGCTTATTTTTTAGGCATTCATAGATTATATTCTAACCTTTTTTCCGTCGTACAATGTCTCCTGCAACAGATGCAGTTATTCTGTCTTGACGTATTTTGTGCCATTTTGGATCCTGGGACTGAAGGCGTGTGGAAATTTCAATTTCACTGGCCTGCATCTCCGACACTGACAGTGACTCCAGTTTCAAAGATTTATTATAGTCTAGAACTACTGCCACATTGTTAATCATGGTGTTTTGCTTTGGTAAAGATGGGAAATCTTCAGCATCCAAGATATTTAGAACGTATTCACTGTGCAGTTTCTGCTGTACTCCTATGGGTGATCCTATAGGAAAATTCCCGAACTTGGTACACACATCTTTCTGCTGCTCACTGGGGCTCACAACTGATAACAAAAGACATGATTTGTCAATGGAAGACAAAGCTTCACACAGTTCTCCAATCGGTGAACACTCTGAATTTATGGGATTGTATAAGGTTGTCTTTAATCCACGGGTCTTCATCCTGGGGTCACTTGTGTTGAATCCTGTGACAGTTATATTGTCGGATGAACTGCCACAAATTTTCTCACCTAAAATAAAATTTTAAAAATAAATTTTTATAGACACAAATGCATTTCAAATGTGTATCTTTGTGCATCTGATAATTTGCATGTGTATCTATATATATATATATATATGTTTTTTTTTAAATACATATTACATGTAATTTTAAATTTGTTTAAAATAATTGTAGCCAGTGGTAGAACATTAATCTTGTAAGTGTAAAACTGCTTAAACAGACAGACCAAAAAATGTTTACCTCTTGGAACATGCCAAGTTTGTGGTAAGGAAGTCTTGGCAACATCAGTCGGAACTGCCTTAAGATTGGATGCTTTCATATGCGCAATGGAGTACAATACACCTACAATGTGTCCACAAGATCCAGATCTACCAACTGCACAGGAACACTTGCTGTCTTCTCTTCCAAACACTGGTCCTTTCTTTATAACTACCTAAAAATGATTATACATGTATTAGAATATTATTAAAGTACAATTATCATATGACCTGACATTTACAAAATACATGCATGTACATAATCTTTAAAAATTCAATACAATATATAGTTATTAATCTCAGTTACATGAATTTATAAATCCAATCATAAACTTAAACATGGACAATTGTATTTGGTATAATTATTTAATATCATGTCAGAAACACAATTCAAGTTTGCATACCTCTACATCATGTGGGGACTCATTCTTTTTCTGGGATCTATAACATCTTGCTCTTATAAGACATCCTTCATCACCATCCAAAGCATACACTGTAAGTTTTAATTTAAAAGCATACATAATATTGATATACTTTTTGCATCACCAATGTGAGATATATATTACTGTATAATGCAAATAATACTGTTAAAAAATAATGAGATATTGTTTACATAGGGATAATGATTAATGACTTAATGTAAGGGACATGCACTAGCATATGCATGGTTCATAAACCAAATTCACTGTCAATGTTGTCAATGATGTGCAATAATTTGAGAAGTTAACACGCTCATGTTTTATATTATATATCACGAAAAATAATCATGTATTAATTTGATAATGATTAGAATGGGGAAATAAACTTGGTTTGTTTATATTGTGGTGTGAAACTGAAAGTACAAGTGCAGTATGTATAAGCAGATAGTGTGTGTCTTTACCTCTGATGTCTGTGACGTATGTCTTGAACGCCAACCGGAAACGCCACTGTACTCATGTTTTTGCTATTTTATGACTGTTTATAGAATATTCAAGTAGACTTTTGAATTAATGTACGATACTTAATATGCCAGTGAAATCTAATTATAGTTTAGGCCTATGGACATAAGAACTTTTTTGCACCCGTATAGGAGTTTATTTGCAAAATTTATCAATTTATAATTACAGATTAGTTCTCTTTCGCTTCATTCAGTCAAAGATAATTAAATTATTTTCTATCCTACTTATTTACATTAATTAAGATATGAGCACAAATATTGAAGGAGGCGATGACGTTTGTCTGTTTGTTGTTCAATGTTCAACCCTAGATATAAAGGATATATCATAGGCTATATCATCAAGCCTAACCTTCGCACAATAAGATGGAAAGTCATGTTAATTGACACTGACAGGCTAAGGACATTGAATATTTTCCTGGACATATTTAAAATGTTCAACAGTTTAGACTATAAAACACAAAGTCGGGAAGTAAATGTTGACATGTTATGCTTATTTAGATACGATTTAAATTCTATTTTTAAACTCTGCCTATGCGCAGTTGTCTGTCATGTGTGACATTGAGATTAAAATGGAGGACGAGGAAGCTCTTTGGAAGTTTTTGTTTCTTGGAGGTTTAGTGGGTGTTTACAGACCTGGATATAGACAGATAGAGGATTCAGACGCAGATGTAATTCGAAGGTGATTTGTTTACAAACGCGAATATATTTTATGAAAATCATTACATTTATTTCTACTTTCGATTTTGATTTTTAAAAATGGCAAGAATAATGAAGACAAACTAGCAGTTTTCCTTTCTCATTCTTAATATACACATGTTAACAAAAATAATTCTACTGGAATCATTCAATATTAGAAGGAACTCATTCTTGCAAAAGAGAATCGTTTTTCAGAAAAAAAAAAAATTAAGCAGCACCTGTTTATCTCGAATGATCATACAACTAACTACCCTAGCTGTTTTATTGTAGGTGTTTGGTCTTAAGCTGAAAAGAAAAAAAAAAATCATTTTTTATTATGACCCTGATTTACTTTTGGTGCTTAATAAAGGATTAATATAAACAGGAAAAGTTGTTTCTGTTGAAAAAATATTTTCAATCAAATGACTATTTTTACATATACACTTTTAAACCGTTTTAAAAGAAATTTTTTAACAGTTCTTGCAAAAAAGTGGAGTTACACTAGTTTATTGAAGCTTAATTAAACAGGGCAAATTCTTTTAAAGATGGTTTTTACAACTTATTTTCCTAAAACTATTTTGAAAATCGAATATTACATCAGTATTCGGCTACTCGGATATATTTTGTTTATTTCAAAATACATATTTAAAAAAATATTTTAAAAATATGAATAAAGATTTTAAAAAAAAATACTTAAATTGTAAGACACCACCCCTTGCTGGTGGGGTTAGGGGCTGCAAATTTGACTAGTACTCAGCCTCAATGCCTTTCCGAAATGGGGTATAATTTTTGTGCAAGTACTTACTGCGATAAAAAACCTCAGGACTGATCTTCATGTCCAGTGGTATTCACATTCGTGACGTAAGGACCAAATTGATTCTTTACGCTGCGACTCGCATGGAAACACTCTAATCATTGCACAACATGGGCGACATATTTACGCAATTGTATATATCCAATTAAAAACATGCTTTTTTCACTATATTACCAGTTCTTTAAAATTTAAAATTCAATTTTATGTTCAAGTATATTATAAATTTAAAATTATACTAAAGTCAATTCCTTATTTTATTTTATGAATACAGACTTATAGAAAATGGAAAACACAACAAAATCATCGAATATATGTGCCGAGCGTCAAGGAAATGTTTGAAATTCTATCCAATAGCCTATACCTTAGCTTTGTGTGCAAGGCATGCAAAAAAGACAGTTTCTCAACAAGCATATGCGGCTCTACCGTATGTTTGTCGAACGCCATCACATCTGTTTCAGTTTTTGAGCTTCTGCAGGACCAGGTTTAAATGTAGAGGATGGCCAAGAACTCATAGAAGAGCAGTCGCAGCCTGGTACACTGAAAATGAACAATATAGAAAAGATCCCCTAAAACTGGCCATCCATGTAACTAAATACAAAAGAAGGTACATGTTCTCACAAAAGAAAGTGGTTAAATCATGTCATCCTAAACCTCCAAATGACGCTTTCCGGTATATATTTCGGTATGTGACAAATGGCGTCAAAAAGGCAAACAAAGCCAGAACAAACGAAAAGGAAACTCAGAATGTTAAAGGTTATATAACAGCTGTGGAATTCATAAAGAACAAACGCAAAGCTGAACACGAGGAAGAAATAAAAGAAGTCATACAGAAATGGCGGATTCCTTGGGAGAATGTCCCTACATCACATTTACAGTCTCCTGAAATTTGGAGGGCTCTTTTGAGGTGCAATATGCCGATTATAGCCATGTTAAGAAATCTTGGACGGATGGGCAGACTCGGAATACTGAAACCAAAAAGTGAAGAAGAGAGCATAATATGTGAGAGATTAAAAAGTGTGGACTCGATGGAATCGGTTCACCCTATCCAAATCCTTGCAGCTTTTGCTGCATATAGACGTGGACAAGGTTTAAGAGCAGACTCTGGTCACTCGTGGGAAGTCAACAAAGAAATAAAACAAGCATTAATTGCTTCTTATTCTCTTTCTGAAAAGAATTTTGAACCTACGAAAAGAAGAATTTTAATTGCTATAGATGTAAAGATGAATATGGAATTTCACGTGTTGGGAATTCCGAGCATGTCTTGCAAAGAAGCAGCTGTAGCATTGTCGCTTCTTTTTCACAACATATTTGAAGTGGACACAATAACATTCTTTAAGACTGCAAAACCATTGCAGGAAAGTCCAAGTGGAGATCCATTTGACATAGATTTATATGCAAACCATTCACAATACGAAGAGAAAGAAACAAACTACGATGTTCCTTTCCATTATGCAAAGGAACATAAGTTTGATACCGTATTGTTGTTGACTGATACACTTGAAACGATGGACATTGAAAAAATTCGCAGGTCATATAAAAAAACGAAACAGCCTAAAAGTAAATGTGTTGTTGTTTCCTTTAAAACTAGCAGACCTGCCTCTGTGTTTGGAGACAGTTCCATGTTAGACGTGGTTGGAGTTGATGAATATGCTATTGAAGTTATTAAGGAGTTCATCAAAGACTACAAGCAAGAAATGGTTCATATAACCGGAGGTCAAAGCTACGAAAGAATGGAAGTAGACAATTGATTTCCAATGGTTTTTAATATGATAACTAAAATGCAGATTACTTATAATCTTTCATCTATATATTAAACATAATTTTACAGGTATACACCATACAATAAATACAGCAATTATTAATTGATAAAAATATATATATTTTTTTATTATGAAGTAGATGAATACCATTGTTTAAGAAATGAGGTATCATTTTAAAAAAATATATCAGAAATTAATCAGGTTGGTCACTAGACCAATTAAATTCCTTAAAGCCTAAGAGCTTTATGGTAAATTTGAACTCATACCTACCCCTATTTGTAATGAAATATTTTATTTTTTTTAAATGAACTGCTCATTTTGATCCCTTAAAAGGGCCTCGCTTCTTTTATGACGTCACGGTAAATTGTGTCGAATGTTTAGGATTGGAGAGACCTGTGACATCATACCTTAGTGATGTGAGATTAAAAACATTGTAAATATGGATTTCAACAACATTTTTTGAAGGAACTGTGACAGTTTTCACTGTTTATTCTCTGTCAGGATGTTTAATCTACTTTCGCTGTCTTATAACAGACCGAGGAGTATTTTTATAACACTTCTATTTGGTAAGGAAAATCTAGAGTTAAACTCCACTTCTGATGTTTGTAACACTATGAACGAATATCATTTTTAAATAAATGAATAAAAGTATTTCATTAATGAGAGCTTTTAGACCAGGATATGGTTGACAGAGTGTGTTGCTAAAGATTGTTGAGGATTAGAAGTATGCTCTTGATCATAAAAATACACAACAGCAATTATGATGGGTTTATCTAAAGAATTTGATTGTATTCCACATGATCTAGTTTTAGCAAAACTTAATGCATCTGGTTTTACAAATGCAGCTACAAGTCATCTCAAAGCTATTCAAACAATTGTAAACAGTGTGTAAAACTGGGAAATGTTTGTAGCGATTTTTTTTTAGAATTGTACAAAGGTGTACCACAGGTTTCAGTACTTGGTCCTGTTATTTTTAATATTTAGAATATATAGAATGTTTTAAGATTTTAAACAAACAAAGCCCAGCTTACCTGCACGATTTTATCCATATTAAAGAAACACCTTATTCTTTTAGATACAGGAAAACTGCTGTTTTACCAAAAACAAGATCAACAGCATATGGGTTAAAGTCTTTTAGATATGAATCCGAAAAAACTTTGGAATTTGGATACCAGAATCTTTTAGAAATATTACTACGTTTAACCAATTTAAATCAAATATAAGTAGTTGGTACGGAAATTGTTGCAATTGCTGTGCTTGTTGCTAATTTTATTATTAGAAACTAGTAAACAAGGTTTATTATATTTTCAGTTGTTAGTCTTAATGTTATTATGGGCCGGCACGAGCCGGCCCATTCTATAAAAAGATTTTTAGAGGTGTATGAGTTTGAATGTCAGACTGCTCGGCCCAAAGACACCTCGGTCCAAGGATACCTCGGCCCATTGACACCTCGGCTCCGACGGCTCGGCCCAAATTTGCAGACACCTCGGCTCACATAAAAGACACCTCGGCCCAAATAGAAATATAATATTTTAGTTAAATATATTTATTATTTATGCTATTATATATCTATGAAATGCAAAAGAAAATTAATTTGATACATTTGCAATCTTCCAAGACGGCAAATTGACGGTAATTAAAGAAAGACAATCCATTAGTAACTTGATCATAAGTGCTAATCATTAAACAAACAAGAAGACGCGGTGCATCCTTTTGGAGTCTCGAGCGCGTGTCATATGGGGTGGTGACGATGAGGAGTTAATTACGAGAAGCCATAATTGGGAGACTTACTCATGTTAATGAAAAGTTTCTTTAAGAAACCCTTGTTGATATTTTATTAAATTGATTTGAAAAAAATAGGCCTATGAGTTTTTAAAATTAAGCAGTAAAATATATATATATAAAATAAACAATTTAAATCAATAAATCTTGAAAACCAGGGCATAAATTTCTTTGTAGACCTATTACATGTACCTCCCAATCAACGGATTGTAATTTGATGTTGTGCTGTGGTTTGTTAGAAAATACTGAAACATTGAAATTATCGTATATTTATAGTATACGTATAGTGATTAAATATGCATAGTACATTACATTACCGTGGTATAGAAAGTAAAAAAAAAAATGATTTAAACAAACTAAATTTAATTTTATTCCTAACGGGCCGAGCAGTCTTCGGTATGGGCCGAGGTGTCAATGATTTTGAGCCGACCTGTCAGGGCCGAGGTGTCAACCAGCACGGGCCGAGGTGTCGTTGGGCCGAGTAGTCTGTCTACCATGAGTTTATGCGGGATTAGGAATTTTATGCGGGATGAGTGTGTATTTATGATAAAATAGAAATACTGATTATAAATACGATTTTAATCATTTGCATGTAAAATAATCCTTTTAAATATTTTTTTTAATGTTTGTTTACGATTATATAATCCTGATAATATTGTGTGCACAGTTCACGTGCTAACCGCATGTGTTTATTATAGCACTGGTTCTCTGCCCTTGATTCCAGTCGCTGCCGCTAGGAGTTGGTTTTTTAGGGCGCTTGCGCCCGTGAACCAATGTCAGGGTACCAGTCTAGTGTTTATTATTACATTCGGCAAACCTCGAATGATTCTGTTGTGTGCCGAGATTCCCTAAAGCTATTTATATAGTAGAAGGCTATTTATAAAGTGTCGTCATAGTTTTGGCGACTCCTCTTTATTTTACCAACTCTAGCCTAGTTATTTTCGCGCGCTTTCAAACAAAGGGTGTTTTCTCTCAACTACTATAGTGAACACTTAAGCCATTTCACGATAAACAACTTGTATAACACGTGCATTAAGTGTCAAGTAATACCTTCTTGTTTAAAATATAATCTAACTGTTTATGAAAGCTTTAATTTAATTAGTACTTCTCAATAAGTGTAGCAAGCCTTAAAGTATTTAATGAAATATGATAGGGCTCCAACGGAAATGTGTTGTCTCATAAGTAGCAGATCAAATAACTTTTAGACCATTATGATGTCACAGAAGTTAAAGTTGATGTCACACTGCTCTTGATATAATCCACTTGATTTCTGGAGAACGTTTTCATTAAATGTTCATTTAAAATTAATAGGTTTATGTGTAATGGTAATTTTGATATTGACCAATCATAGTTTTTAGAAACATTTACTTTATAAAAGTAATCATATTCTTGGACTTTACTGCCCATAACTTTGGTGCGTGCACCAATGTTTCTTGTAAATACTATGTCATATGTCATTGTTATTGTAATAGTGATATTTTAGTAGTGTGGTGTAATTTTTAATATACTGTTTCTTGCTTATGTATGACTGTTGTATTTTATGTAACAATTATGCTAAAGTCGGAAAATAGTTCTTCAGAGCTAATGTTTTTTGTTGATGTTTCCGACTTTAAATAAATATTATCTTATCTTGTCTTAGTGAAAATGTGATAAATAGTGTTATATAATGGAAAAGTAATTGCATGTGTAAAACATAAAAATAAATATGTACATAGAAAACAAGATATCACAAAAACTATTTCTTTTCCACTTTGAAAGCATGTATTTGTATTGATGACTTCATATATTTATCGTTTTCAGGTCACCCGAGTCACTCAAATGACCTTTTTTTTTTTATATGTTTTCTTCCGTTATCGTTCATCGTCCGTTAACATTTGAACTTTTTAGCTTCTTCTCTGAAACGGCTGATCCAATTCCAACAAAATTTGGCATATAGCATCTATGGGTTAAGGGAAAAAATTATGAATTTCATGGTCCCTGTGCCCCTGGTGGAGTCCGAGGAGTGGTTTCAAAACCTCAATAATTAATGCAATCTTTAAAGATCTTCTTTACTCCTGGACATCAAGCAGTCATACTGTTGACATGATTGTAGTAATCATTGAGTCCTCTTCCTAAAATTTGAAATTCATGACCCCATGGTCAGAGGTCATAGTGTCAAGGCAGGGCTCTAAAATAGTGAAAATGCATTTGCTCCTGGGTATTAAACAAACTAACTACATACGTAGTTACAGATTAGCAAGGGCGCCTCTTCCAAAATTATGAATTCCCAGGTCCCTGGGTCAGAGATTCTGGTGTTAGGGTGGGGCTCCATTGATTATATAGTGAAAATGAATTAATTCTTTGAAAATCTACTTCTCTGCTCCTTGGTAATAAAAAACTAACTAAAAAGTTACCATTAGCAAGGATGCCTCTCCCAAAATTGCGAATTTCATGGCCCCTGGGTCAAGGCTTCTGGTGTTAGGCGGGGCTCTATTGATTGTATAATGGAAATGTATTAATTCTTTAATATGCTTCTCTGTTCTGGGTATTGCACACACTAACAGCATACATAGTAATAATGAGCAAGTGTTCCTCCTCCAAAATTATGAACTTCATGACTCCAGGGTCATGTGTTCCTGTGGAGTGGGAGTACTGCAGATTGCTGATTTTTTCCGATTAGATGAAATACATTTTGTTCCTCGCTGTGCTCTTCCTATTGGTATTGAGTAACCAAACTAAGTGTATAGTTATGATAAGCCTTCCCAGATAGCAGGATGTTATTGGACCTTTGTTGGGCCAACAATGCTCCTTATGTTGGGCCACCGTTTGTATTCAACATTGGGCCATCGGTAATTTGCTCATCGGCCCTGAATCAAACCAACTTGTTGGCTTATTGTTGGGCCAATGTAACAGTTAATATTGGGCCATTGTTGGGCCAATGTATTATTTCAATATTGGGCAAACGTCATTTTTGTACAATTGGGCCATTGTAAGCAGTTAATGTTGGGCCAACGGTAATTTGCTCATCGGCCCTTAATGAAACCAACTTGTTGGCTTATTGTTGGGCCAATGTAACAGTTAATATTGGGCCACTGTCGGGCCAATGTATTTTTTCAATGTTGGGCAAACGTCATTTTTGTACATTTGGGCCATTGTAAGCACTTAATGTTGGGCCAACGGTAATTTGCTCATCGGCCCTTAATCAGACCAACTTGTTGGCTTATTGCTGGACCAACGAACGGATATTATTGAGCCATTGTTGGGCCACTTATTCTTTCAATATTAGGCAAACATCATTTTTGGGCCAACGTTGGTTTGTATCTTATTGGCTCTCCATCATGACAACTCATT